AAACTCTATTTCCTTTGTCGCTAGTTGTATGAATTCTTTTTCTTTCAATATAGATTTGTTCAAGGACCATCTTAATTTTTTCTTGGCTCCTCTCCAGATCATCTTTATTGGGTTATGATTTGCCCAGATATTAGTTTCTATCTCAATTTCTTGTATCATCCTGCTAAGTTCTGAGGATGTCCATATCATGTCAATTCTAGACCATGATTTATGTCTATTTGAGTAAAATGTATATTGAAGTTTCTTTGGATTTTTTCTCTCCATATATCTTGGATACAGAGTTCTTCTGCCATTTTTAAAAATGCTTTAGGTAATATATTTCTTCCTTTCCTCCCTTGTTTGGTGCTTTTATAGTCCAAAATTACATCTGTTATTGCATTGATGTTTCCCATTATACAGAGATTTTGATAGTCCAATTCTAATATTTTTATATATATTTTTGGTAAAATTGTTCTTGTTTATCATTTGGTGCATATATTGCTACTGTCAGTATCTGTTTTTTATTCATCATTATTTCCACCATTAGTATTCTTCCCTCTTCATCCGCATCATTTCAACAGGAACGTGGATTGGCAGGTATAGACAGCAGGAAGTCTAGGCAGGATCTGGCAGCTTTCCTGCCTGAATCAATAGTAAAATCGTGCAATAGAAATCCCATCCCAACTGTCCATCCGGATGATTCAAACAGGCCAATCCACAGGTGACACCATACTGTGGGAAACGAGCTGATAAGGTGCCTCTCTCAGGGTTGTTAGGTTTTCGCCGTTTCCTCCCCTCTGCATTGAGATAAGGCAGATGGCCCGAGGCATTCCATTCACATTCCAAAGACAATACATCAAAGTAGATAGAGGAATCGTCCTACATGCAATGCATATTCCCCCCTGCCCCCTTAGGACAATGGCAGAACCCAAATAGCTTAAACAGAGGAATTAAAGAGAATTAAAAAATTAGGGTTCTGACATGCTGCCCCCCTAAAAAAATGAGAGATCCACCTGGAGGCAGACAAAATAAAAGGGGAGAGAATTGAAACAACAAGATTAATCGGGCTTATCCGGATAATGGGCGTGAAACCTCTTTAGTAATCTAAGGGCCCTGACATGTTTCTTATTATGTACCCACTCATTTTGGGATGGTGGGAGGTCCTTCCACGTCATCAAATATTGGATTGATCCATGATGTTTCCTGGAATCTAGTATCTTCTTAATTTCAAAATATTGTTCCCCTTCCACCATAATGGGTTGCAGGGGGGGAGCTTTGTCTGGCCTTAAGGGAGAGGTTAGCTCCCATTTAAATTCAAATTCAAATTTATTTGATTTATATACCGCCCTTCTCCCTTGCGGGACTCAGGGCGGTGAACAGGCACATTAATAAAACAGCAATACCATAATATTTAAAAATATTCAAAACTAATTAAATTATTTGTCCTGTCCTAAAACCCACTATAATAATATAAAATTATACCCAATTTAAAATTTTAGAATTTCAG